GCACAGTATGAATCGGGGCCTTTGCCGCTGTCACTAAAGCGATCCTCTGCCTCCAGCGTCTTCCTCCATCACCACTGACCGGTATAGGCGCCTGCTTGCTTTAGCTGGGCAGCCGGGATGACCTTCCCCCCTCGGGAGACCTTGCTGGGAATACCTGCTCCGGGCATACGCTTGCAGTGTATGCTGATTCTTTGCTCAGAAACACCCCCCCCCACCATAATGAGGCAACATGGCCAGACTTGGGGGGTGGGGGGCATATGATATATTGGGTTTGTAATCTGGATACTATCAGCACTTTATCCTAGATCGTAAACCACAGGATAACTCTTGCCTGGGTAGAAACGCTTGATATGACTGAAGCCTGCAATCGTCCTTGTCTTCCGTAGGGCAGACTATGTCAGCTTCTAGATCTGAGAGCCCTGGGAAAAAGTTTTGCTCTCCGGGGCGCTTGCATTTGGTGATTTCTCTGGGTTGGCTCTGTGGATACGCATGTGTCTCCCTGCCGCCATGGTCGTGCTGGGGCTACAGGCTCTCCTGTGTCTCCACAGTTACCCAGGACTGCTGATCATCCCGCAGAGCATCCAGGACAACACAGTTCAGCGGATCTCGCGCTGCTACCGCCAGAACCGCTTCCCTGTGGTCTGCTGGCGGAACTCGCGCACAAAAGCAGTGCTGCTCCGATCGGGTGGCTTGCACGGAAAAGGCGTGGTGGGTCTCTTCAAGTCCCAGAATGCTCCTGCCACAGGTACCTCTAGGGGGGGTCTGTTCCTGCCTTGCTTCTCTGTCTTCCCTGCCCACTACTGAGGATCCTTCCTTCCTGCCTCTCCTTCCAGGCCCCTCTCAGGCAGATTCGACGAGTCTGGAGCAAGAAAAATACCTACAAGCCATCATCAATTCCATGCCCCATTACGCAGATGCTGGTGGCCGCAACACTCTCAGTGGCGGCTTCAGCTCTGCCCACATGAGCAACTCAGGTGAGTGGGCTGGTTTAGATGGTGGTCCAACAGTGGTTCAGCTGCTCTTCTTTAAACTTTGTGGCAGCCTCAAGGAGCTGGTTTGGGTATAGCGGCTACCGTAGCGTAGCCTGCGAGGCCGGGGGAAGGAAGCATCCACCAGGTGAGTCCCGTGCCCTTGGCAGCTGCGGCATCTCCATCCCACCTGCTAGCAGATTCCCCCCATTTCATTCGCTCAGCATAACCCACCTCATTCATTGTCTGTCTGATGGATACTGGCACCGCCTTGAATGGCTGGCCTGTGGCAGCTGGGACCTTGCCCTCTCCCCCCACACTGCTTGCCCAGGCCAGGGGCCCAGGAGTTGCAGGAGGAGGCCGAGCCAGAGTGGGAGGGTTTTCTGGCATCCTGCAAGGGGGAAGAGGGTGATCCTGCCCGGGGCGGAGGGGAAGGGACAGGCTGCTTTCCTGAGCTCAGGTGTGGAATGTCCACCTTCTGTTGGTGCTACAGATTCTTCTGAGAAGCGACAGCCCAAGCTGGGATCTCTTATGAAGCAGGTGATGGGAGGGAGAGACGAAGGGCCCGGGCCGGTTAGCCGTGGAGGTGAGATGTTCGCAGCAGCCGCCACCACCACCGGTTGTGGACTAGCTGCTTTAATGGCTGGAGGCAGGGTCCTGCTTCCTTGCAAAAGCAAGGCGCCGGGGCGGGTTGGGGCATCCCAGCCTGGCCTGCAGCTCTCTCAGGTGTTGGTCATTCATTTCATCTGCCCCTCCATCCAGTCATTCCCCCCCCACGGCCCCAGAATGAGCAGCTCTCCCTGTCTTCCTCTGCTGAGATGCCTGTCCCCTCTCAGCCCTAGGTCACAGAACTAGGGTAATTACCTTCTCCAGCCCCAAGAGTGCAGCATCAAGGAAACCTGACTCCCCCCGAGGTACTGTATGGGCACTCAGCTCGCTTCTGTGGCCTTCCCATGCTAACTCATCCCCCTCCAGCCCCAGGCGGGCAGGCCCACTGTCTGCCTCTCCGTGCTAACCATCCTGCGACATCACCGCATGTTCTGTACGTCTTCCCGTGCTTTGGGGCCCCTCTTAGGAAGACTCCCCAGCCTGGAATGCTGTCCCAGTTTAGAAGGCTGGCTCGTTCTGGATGAGGATCCGCTGAGGGGCGACCACAGCTGACGTCACTTTCCTCATAGGCAAATGGGGCAGCATCCGAGCCAGTGGCCGCTTGAGCAGCTATGCTCTCAACATAGAGATCGGGTCCCGCCTAGCTGGGAAAGAACTCGGCATGCAGCCCAATGGTTCTCCCTCTGAAGCCAGATTCCTGCGCCAGCTCTACATAATTGGAGACAAATCCCAGCTGCGGGTACTGTTTGGCTGGGCCGGCCAGGCCAGGCCAGGCCAGGCCAGGGGAGAGCTTCACTTGTACGGGCTGGGGAGCCTAGAGTTGTCTGCTGAAGTGCCTCTTTCTGTGTCTCAGGGAATAAAGCCTGACCCTTTGCAGCACTGGGAAATGGTGCCCATTGAGGTGTTTGATGCACGGCAGGTCAAGACAAGCTTCAAGAAGCTGATGAAGGCCTGTGTCCCTAGCAACCCTTCCCCAGAGGCTGGCCTGACCTACTTGCGTTCCTTGGAGGAGTCTGAATGGCTGATACAGGTCAGTGGCAGAGAACATGCTGCTGGGTTATCGGGGCTGAAGTCTGGCTTGGACCGTAGCTGGATCTCAGATGGCCTGGGCACCTCCCTGCTGGCCTTGCCCCAGTTATTGACCCAGGGGCCCTTTGCTGCCACGGCTGCCCTAGCCAAGTCTCTCTGAGCAGGAATGCAGCCTGAACTCTACATCGTCCTTACTTATTGGATGTTGTAAGGGCCTTGCAATCTAGGCCTGCCCGAAGAGAATAAGTCAACACTAGTTACACATGGAAGGCCACTGATACAGGTTGCCCCCAGGGATATGCCTGGCCCCTGTTTTTAGGAAATTGCTTAAGCTTTCCTTTTTAACAGACGTTTGATTATTTTAATAGCTTGAGATGAGGGGCTTTATTTTAATTATGGTTTAATGATTGCTAAATATTTTTGGAGGTGGCTTGAAGGTCGAGATTCTTCTTTCACCATCCAGAATCATTAATAGACATGTCTTGGGTTATGCCTTTCGTGGCTTGGGACTGGGTTACTTACATCTCTCCCCAGTTGTCTCTGCTCATCCTACTTGATCCAGCAGGAGGGACATGCTCCAGGTACCGTCAGCTAAGGAGTGTCAGCTGGCAGGGCCCAGAAAAAGAGCCTTTTCTGCTGCAGCACCCACCCTTTGAAACACTGTCCCCTCTGAGATTAGATTGGCCAGTCCCTGCTAGCCTCCCATAAGGCCTTGAAAACTTGGTTGTGTGCCCAAGCCTGGGGCCTTGGGTGTGCAACAGAGCCCGTCTCCTAGCTATGTTGATAGCTGTCTGGATGACGCCCAGCTGCTATGTATTTTATTTTTTATATTCTGTATTTTGTCTGTTTATTGAAGCCACTGAGAGTCATGTATGTGAGATGGGTGGCTATATAAATCAAATAAATAAATAAATCTTGTTCACTTGAAGACAAAGACCAGACTTCTGTGCTGCACTAAAGATTGCGGCGGGGAGGGGGGTAGGAGACGACTCCTGGGAGTCCACTCAGAAAGCTGAGCAGGTTGAATAAATTAGCAGCAGGGAGCTCGGAAATGGTGTGGCAATCGCAGTGAGTTAATGGAAGAACAGAGAGGAAAAGATGGCAGGATTCTAAGTAGCCAAGAGAGAAACAAGGAGTAGACCAGAATCTGCTGGTGAAGACAGAGGGAAAAGTTGTGAAACTGAATAGAAGACAGGGAAGGCAAAGAGAAGCCACCGCTTTATGCCTATTCAGCATGGATGATGGTAATATTCCAGTGGTAGAGAGACATTTTTAGGAGGAGAAGTTCTGGTATTTGGATACAGGGCTGGCGATTGTCTGTTCACATAACATTGAAAGCTCTGGGTTGTGAGGTTGGATACCAAGAGAAAACCAAGGGGGGAAAAGAAGATCAGTAAAGGGTAGCAGAGGAACCGCTGTGGCAAACAGCCTTTTCTCCAGGGCCACAGTGAACCACCCACATGGATGAGGTTCCCCCTGTCGGTGGAGGACGCCAACTTCTCCACGTCCTGGTGGAGTCACGGCACAAGCCTGGCCTCTGCGGTGCAGGACCGGGTCAGTCTGCAGAGAAGCCATCCGAGAAGGACTCCCAGGCCTCTAAGTCAGGGAAGGAATCAGGCGAAAGAGGGTGACAGAGACCAGGAGGAGGGTCCCCTTCACTGGATGTGTTCGAGCACTTCCGTTGGGAGGATTTAATGACAAGGCTCTCAACAGCCCCTTCCAAGACTATCGTTCTAGAACCATAGAGAAAACAACCGGGGAGCTAAAATTAATTTGCTCTTGCTGTTGACTGACTTGAGGTGTTTGTATGACATTCTGAATCCTTCACACCATTAAACTGCCATGTAAACAGGGCCAAAGGGTATCAAAGAGACTGACAACGCACAAAGAAAGAGAAACGGGCTGTGTCTGTCTGTGTCTAAATCTGATCTCCTCTGGTTTAATTGGCTCAGGCAGGTAGTTGGTTTTGAAGTTTGATAAGCACAATTATCCCCTCCCCTTCTGACAGGCAAGTTGTGTAAATAGGGCCAGCGGGGGAGCACCTTTGGGTTTGGGAAGTGAGTGAGAAGCAGTCAGCATGCTAACACTGGTCCTCCGGGGAGAAGAGGGGGCTGCCCATTTGGTGCAATGTTTGCTCGAGGTCAGAAGCACGGTCTTTCTGCAGTAACTGGAGCGAGCCTTGCTGACTTTACTGAGCAAGCCCTGCTGCCTGGGGTCGCTGGACTTTAGAGCAAGCTGCAAGTTTCCTACACCTGAACTCAAAGCAGTTGTGTCTCAGGCAGATGAAAGTGTCAAGGTAGAAAATAGAAGCATTGCTGGGTGCATACACTCGGAACAATAATCTTTGTAGCTGGTGTCTTCATCATTCAGTGAATCTTTCTTTCTTGACAGATTCATAAGATCCTGCAGATCTCAGTGCTTGTGGTGGAACTGCTGGACACGGGCTCCTCAGTGTTGGTCAGCCTAGAGGATGGCTGGGACATCACCACTCAGGTCAGCATGCATTCTCCCAGAAGCAGCCTTGTCTTGTCCCAGAAGCTAGCGCTGAACTGCCTCTCTTCTTCTTAGGTGGTCTCTCTCGTGCAACTGCTCTCAGACCCCTATTACCGCACCATGGAAGGCTTCCGGCTTCTGGTGGAGAAAGAATGGCTATCCTTTGGGCACCGCTTCGGTCATCGAGGGGCACAAACCTTGGCCAGCCAGAGCAGTGGCTTTACGCCCATCTTCCTGCAGTTTCTGGACTGTGTCCATCAGGTGAGAAACAGCCAAGCAGGGAGGATAGGCCCAGGTGATCCTGGCTTTTCCTCCTCTTCCTGACATTCTGGGTCTCTTGTCCTGTCTTGCAGATTCACACCCAGTTCCCCATGGAGTTTGAGTTCAGCCAGTACTACCTGAAGTTTCTCAGCTACCACTATGTGTCCAATCGCTTCCGCACGTTCCTCCTAGATTCTGACTATGAGCGATTGGAGCTGGGTAAAAAGCGCGGGGCCTGGGAAGGCAGCGGGAGGCCCCAAGGTCTGGCCAGCTCCAGGGATTGATGACACACCTTCTGAACTTCTCTCTCCTTGACAGGTCTCCTGTACGAAGAGAAAGGGGAGCGGAAAGGCGCTCAGCTCTACCGATCCATTTGGGACTACATGGACCGGCTGAACAAGAAGACGCCAATCTTCTTCAACTACCTGTATGCGCCTGAGGATGGTGAGGTGAGTGCCGCCCAGTCAGCAAGCGGCCAGTGCTGTGGTTGGGCTTGAACTGTGAGTCAACTGCATGCCTTGTGTTCAGGTCCTGCGCCCATACAGCAACATTTCCAGCCTGAAGGTGTGGGATTATTACACACAAGAGGCTCTGTCTGAGGGACCCTCCTATGACTGGGAGCTGGTGCAGGGTCAGGTGGAGCTCAGTGAGGAAGCTGGCCAGCAGGACACCAGCACCCCTCAAAGCCGTCGCAAGATCGTTTGGCCCTGTTACGACAACTGCCGCCGGATAGAACCCGATGCCATCTCGCGGCTACTGGAGGTAAGGGGCTATTTGGGGTGGCGCTTGCAGCAGAGATTCTCGTTAGCCCTGGCAGCATCACGTTGGACAGATCTTGGGCAGTAAGTGAGAGATCACCTTTGTAGATTTGAAGAACATATTTAGATCTATACAGCAGAATTTCCAGTGGTTGGCTGAGCCAGATTATTCTCTCCATCATTCTTTTGACAATCCCAAATTGGAGGTTGGCTGCGATTCCTGTTACAAATCAGGGCTTCCTGTGGTGCAGAGACCATCAGGACCTCAGTGTTGTCAGGTGGGCTTATGCATTCTGCCAGGTCAAAATGAGATGGTAATTAATAATGACTCAAAATATTATTAAGCAGTCTTTGAGGCTAATGGCCTACAAGACCATCAAATAGCCACCCTAACCCAAGTCCAAGCAAATACATCTTGTATCTTTAAATTGAGGATGGGGGCAGTGACCTAGGAACAGCCTTTCCACTGCTTACGTTTTGCAACAGGGTGTGCCCTGATGGTGGAAGAGTCATCCAGCATCCTGCACAACTGGGGAGAAGGTCTGGGGGCAACCCAAAAACTGATCCTGCGCATCTTTTCCATAGAAGTCTAATCCAGTTTCATTCCTACTTTAGCCTGGAACTGAAAAGAGGGCTTTCCACCCTTCTGCTGTACCCCTTGGGGAGGTAACCTTGTCTGCAATAACCTAGGTGCCCCACTCTGAAGGCACCTCAGTTTCTAACCATCACAGCTCAGATATCCTTATTTTCCTTCCCATCAGGACTGGAAAAGCGAGCAGCCAGGAAAGGCTTTGGAACCTCTCAGAGCCACAGCGACAGGGAGGTTTGCACCCCGGTCTTTGCCACGTGCCTGGAGTTGTTTCTTGTTCAGAATCTGACCTTGGGCTGCTTCCCCAGGGTCTGCCCCTGAAAGGGCAGGGAAGCGCTCATTGTGTGGGTGGTCACTTCTTCCCTTCCTGGGTTTGCCTTGCTGCTGCTCAGAGAAAGGAGGGTTAAGGAAATAACTGAACAAGCTCCCGACAAGCTTGCTGCCTCTCTGCAGTAGTAGAATTCCACATACAGTACTGTGCAAAAGTTTTAGGCAGGTGTGAAAAAAATGCTACAAAGTAAGAATGCTTTCAAA